AATGCTATGTGGAAGGTTTAAACCCCAAATTATTAGAGATCATTTTGTGAAATTAGGGTTTGTTTCACTGTTTAGAGGGGGCGGGGGGGGGGCGGGGGAGGGGGGAGGGAGGTTGACTTTTATTATATTCTTGACTCGCACTCATTCGAATGGCGATACAAGCAAAACAATTATTTGAAGAATCGTCTTGAAATTTGGACATCAAATACATTGACTTCATATCTATCTTCAGTGAGAATTTAGTGGTTGTCCTGCTAATAGGTTGGGAGATGTAACATTTTCCCTTTTTCGCACAAAACGCCTTAAACATTTTAGGTTTATCAATCCCTTCTTATATTAATGGTTAACTAACTTAAGCTGCTTTTCTATAGCATACAGTGGAAGCAAAGTGCAATTAAAAATATCTAATTATCCTAATTGCCTCATTGAAGATGTCACTGGACCTTCAAATTATTGCTAACACTTTATCCAAATGTTTCAATAGTCAAACGAGATATATATTCCTGTTCTTGCGGCGTCGTAGGAAAAGATGAATATTCTATAAGGTTTTATCTACGTTTTAAACAGGAAAAAGTAGCTTATCCACTTTAGGAAACTTTCATCAATAGACATGCGTGCAGACAACATTTTTAGCACCGCATCGACGCCATACAATGACGCTAAAACTTTGTTTGGATGGAGACATTTTGAACAAAATTATTGGCGTTACAGCACGAAGTAAAACTGGCAGTAATATTGATTTTCTGTAGTGCATAAATGGCAAATAAGCTGAGAGTAAGTTTCACGATTATTTAACGGACATAGATATACCCGAATGCTGAGATTTGCTTAGCTCCATTGCCTTGGCGGGAAGGATAAATATATCCACTCGACCAACGGAACCCATTGAGATCAGTACCAAATCCAATCAAGCCTTCTTCCTGGCCACATGTTTTTTGAGCGAGATAACCAATTCGTACACGTTTCTGTGTTAGATCTAAACGTGTATTGAAACCTTCATATCCACAATTATTCGGAAGCTTTGAATCATCAAGGAGAGATTCCCATTTTGACTTGCCAACGTTCACAGGTTTAAACATTCCATCTGCCAACAAACTGTAGAACGAACTTGCTTCATATTCAATACCAATCCAGTTTATGGAAGATCCATCTGAATTGACAGTCATTCCCAGACAGATCTTGCTGAATGGTGTGTTGTTGTACGAAGCCAACTTGGTCTCTAGGGCATTTCCGTCCACTCCTCCTTCAACGTTCAACGTTTGGTGGTTTTCCCAGAATTTGGAGTCATACTTAAATGTTTGCTATAACGATACAAAAATGTATTTAGCGCTTAACAGTTCAAAAATGACATTGTTGGCATGGAATACCCAGCTAAAGATATCAATACACATGAAAGTTCATATAAAGATTTGTAATAATTTTGGCATTCCGACCTATATGTTCTTAACTTGACACCATCAGTGTTTGTTTCTCATCTGGGTATCTAGCTCCTTTGCTTTCAACCACACCAAAGCCACCTTTATATAAGTTAAACATACATGTATTCACATGCATGCAACAACCCCTCGATCGTCGACATTTTGCAAACACCGTTTGAACATGAAGTATTCTTAATTTTGCTACACTGAACGCAGGCTCACGTTGTTCGGGTCATGTTGCACGGCAAACAATCTTGTACAGAGAGTATGCTCGTTTGCAGGTTAGGTGCTGAGCACCTAACCTGCAAACTGGTATACCCTGGGTAGGAGATTGCATACCAACACGATCTTTGTTTTTTAAATTTTTGTGCCAACCAGCAAAGATGAATGAATGTTTTACACTTTTAACCGCAGAATTACCGATTTCTAAAATATTTAACTTAAAGTAAGCATGTTATTTTGCATTCTTTGACCTTTATTCTAATGTAAAATTAGACACGAAACGTTTTGTAAACGTTTTTTAATGTTTATTGAAATTAACTGCTATATGTTTCAGATCAGTGTGAGATGACCACCCACGGATAACCATGGACCCTCGGTTGTTGATGAACTTTAGAATTCGCGAATATTTTCCTTTCCCCGGGTTGAAATAGCCGAGCGGAATTAGCACCCCTTGCCACAGGCTTCGCCGTACGAGCTCCGCGCGTGGCTCGGTGTAAATCATGAACAATCTGTATCTGATTCACAAAGCGAGGAGAAGACGAGCTCAGATACAGATTGAAGGCAAATGCTATTTACTACTTGCAATACGAATTCATCCAACTTATCAAGTTTGTCAACTATTTGAACATGTCCAAACGAGAAGACTTCGCCCGCGCGTGCAAAGCGGCCGTTGACCCTGCCCTAGTTGACAAAAACTAAATTAATTGGCTGTTCAGACGTGCCTTGTGAATACGTAGATCAGTGAGGAGGAAAGGGAGACATGAGTTCTAGTCTACTTTAAGGTAAACGGAATTTGAAAAAGTTAAAAATAAAATGTTAAAGAGAATGGTGAGCCTAATGGAAAACATCCATTAGTCTCATATCAATTAATTTATTTATGGTGTGTTAATTCATTACATCACTTATGGGTCTGTCCGTTACGTCAGTATTAAAAATACGTTCATGCAGCTACGTACTCCTCGCCCAGAATGTCTGCAACCCCCAAAAATATTGGGTTAGCATAATGTATTTACTAACTGTAAACATCGTTGGCGCCAATTAGCCTTTCTCAAGGAAGGCCAAAATCCGTCATTTTTGGGGTATGTCTACCCACGTGAAAGATTCTAGACAATTCACAAAAGTGAAATGCAAACTTTTAGAAGTTGTAACTGTATATTACGATGCAAACAACTATTCAATACTAAAATTGAATTTTGTGGTGCGGACATTATCAAGCATGGGGGAGGCAGTACCACAAAAATGGCGGGAAAATTGGCCGCGAGAAAGACTAAATAACTTGAAAATTATATTAATTTGTAATTTGTAATATTAAATATAAAAATAATGTTTTAATTATATGGCGTGCCAAGATGGACATTATTACTTTACGTCCATTTATATAATGTATATTTCAAATATATAATTTCAAATATATGTATTTTTGTAAGCCGAAATTGCCATATATAAAACGAAACAGAAATATATGCAACGAAACAGAAATATATAAAATGAAACATTCATATATAAATCGAAACACCCATATATAAAGCGACATTAGTATATAAATAAAATGAAATATTCCAAAAGATATGAAACGAATTTTCCAAATATATAAAACGAAATTCGTCAAATATATATAAAACGAAATTCCTCAAATATATAAAACGACATTTTACTAAAATAAAACGACATTTTTGGCGGAGAAAGAGCGCGACTAATTTATCCGGAGTAAATTTTCTGTAAACTGCGCTTATGCAAATATGGCGGGCAACAGAAATCTGCAAAGTTTATCAAATCTTGTGAAAGCAATTTCTAGATTGAGTCAAAATAGCACAGAGACCCGCAAGGAAGCAACGATACGACCGTTTTTTCCTTGAACGAATGGTCAGACAGAAGCAAACCGAAATGAAATTCGTGTGGTTGCGGAACATGAGGCGCTGAACACACATGAACGCAGAAAGATTCGTACCTAATCGCAAATATGGTATAAGAAACGGCCTACTGGCTACTGGCTACTGTCAAGCTATGTTGAGCAACAACAAAAATATACTCATATAACCTGCAACACCCTGATTTCATCAGGCCCCCAGCAGTGTGTGAGAGAAAGCACTTCCGCTTCTTTCGTGCCTCAGCCAGCGGAAAATAACACTTCTCAAACACCGCTGGGAGCTGCTGCAGCGTCAGCCGCAGCCATACAACGCATAGAGTTAATTTATACAGTTTATGCCTTCTGCATTATTTTTGTAAGATAGTGAAGTAAAGAGTTTTTTGACTCATCAATGTAATTGTTCTTTGCCTGAGCACACCTACGACATACAGCCGTTCTAGCGAGTTGTTCAAGAAAGAAATTTAGTGAAGGAAGGTCTTGATGCTAGCGCTAAAGATTACGGACTTCGAAGTTTACGATCTGGTGGTTCGTGCGATCTTTTCCTCGTTCCAGGACACATGGCAATTGTTAGATGGTCTGATAAGCCAAATGGAGGAGCACTAGTAGGAGGTGAATAGTATCCAAATAGATTGGTATAAATTTGGTCAAGAATATTGGCACCTCTGGTGGGAAAATCAATTACTGGTTTTAGTTGAAAAGGTTTAACAGTAGCCTGTAAGTCCAATT